CCCTTTAGCGCAGGGGTCACAAGATTGGAAAGAAATAATTACCCGGAACGCGACAGGCAAGGAATATTCGACCAGGCTACGTGTTTGTGGCATTGCGTCCTTTGAGCGGCAAATGGGACAGGTTTTCTTCGTCACGTGGAGCGACTGTTATACGGCAGTTTTCGACAACATGGCAGTCCTTGATCGCTGGAGTTGCGCCATTGTCGATTGCCAGAGCCTCACTGGCATGAGCTCACTGACAGCGGTTGGATTGCCGCCAGGCGGGTCGGTGCACAATTCCTACCACTTGCGCCCTTCCTTTGGTGATGACATGCAAAAGCTTGACGCGCTGAGCGACTCTCGCCCGTGACGAGCCAAAATCCTGAGTTAAAGGTATAGGCTGAGTTCAAGTTGGTGGAATATTTGGGAATGCAAGAAGTCGAACTGCAAACAGGAGATATTTCAACCGCCCTACGGACGGGCTTAGAGTTGTCGTCCAGTCTTGAGTTCCCTACAGGCCGAAGGAGGCCGGCCTGTAAATGGATTTCGGGATGTCGTTCGGGAGCACAAGGCCTAGTCAGTCAAGAGGTCCGACGAGAAGGCTGAGATGCGCAGTACTCGATCGCAGACTCACGCGGTGGACAGTAGTACAGTACAACGCCGGTCAATGGGTAGTACGAAGCAGCACGAATGTTGCGCACGGAAGGTTTTGGCTGCGATCCGTGTATTTTTGCAGATATACTATATAATGTGAAGGGCTTCAAAATTTGGGTTTGAAAATACTGAAATGATGTGTATCGGTTCGTGATGATTCGTAACGACGTGACGATGCTGTCATGGCCTCCCTGGGCTTTGTTATTCCTTCTTTGTCCAGGGCGTATCCCCCCAACCCCCCGCCCCAGTATAAACCATACATCAAGCTGAAGGAAAGAGCCAATTTCGAGACATTGACCGTAGAGTAGGACTGAAGAGAAAAGGAGATGCTCCAAGTAGTTTGGGATATGGGTGAATTTGGGATTAAGGCGTCGCTGGCCTAGACCTGAGTACCGACAAATCGTCGTTTCGGTCGCCTTCGATTGTGCCATCTCGAATTCACAAGGTGCGTACAATTCCAGAAGGAACTAGGAGCTGACCACAGCAAGTGGCACGGGAGCAACATCGTCATGTTGCCCCAGGTTCCCCTAGGTATATTCGTATCGAAGTACTTCTCCCACGCCCATCAGCCTCGTCGGTTGGGCTGATGCGTAGACAAACAATTGATGGCGGTGTGCTCCGCATTGTGGATACCTGGCACACCCGGCTGGGTGGTGCGGCAGTGTGCTGACAGTAGGCAGGACGACCCAGCTAGCTGGTAGCGGGTGCAACTGCAAGGCGCCTGCGATGGGGGGAGAGGGTTGTGCCGCAGATGTTAGCGTGCAGGTCGACCCCTGCCGCCCTGGGCCGCTGTCATTTTTAGTCCGAACTGCCGTGGGGCAACTCTGTCAACCACCACAAGGGGTACCGATTGGTGGATTGTTTCCTACTGCCTCTGGACGCGGCGCGAATCTTTAGCATATCTAGAGTAGAATATCTACGAAAAATCATGGCCAGAAGCACCAAGGAGATTAATACCTGCGTGCCGCCGTCGCGATTCAGAGCCATGGAGTTTGACGAGCTGCGCGCTCCGGGGTGCCAAGGGCCGACTTCCTGCTGATCGCGGAGATACGCCAACACGAGCTGCCGGCTGCGTAGCAAGTTCGCCTGACGTTCGGCATCCGTCAGTGCAGGAGGCGCATCGCTGCCATTCGACGTGATTAGCAGTTATGAAAAGGCATCATTCCCGAAGATATGCCCCAAAATACAATATGTTGATCGCTGCTAGACAGGGAGTACTGACCCGTAACATTGAGCCTGGTCAGTCGGGGCTTCCATAACCACGAAAGTGATTTCTGGGGTGCAGTTATTCCTGACGATAACCTTAGTCGCAAAGATTGATGAAATGTCGCTGGAACCAGTCGTCGTGTCGACTGGAGGAAGAACAACGACACAACTGTAGATGGGCCATTGTAGTATTTATATTGATTTGGGGCTGGTCATCATGGATTTGGGGCTGGTCAAGCACCTTGCGTCTTGGGCACGTAAGTTCGGTCACCTATGAACTGCACGGTTGGCACTAAGGGCATCCAATCACATCCAGAGGGACGCTATGCACATTAAGGGGAAGGCGGCCACTAGGTAGTGGCCGCCTTGTTTTGCAAAAAAAATGGCCCCAATTAAATTCCTCACTATTACTACCCAGATAGTCTGCCAGTGGCAGGCAATATGGACGCCAGCCTCGTAGGCTAGGGTCTATTAACTGAGGGTACCGGCCTCACATCTAGCCTTCTAGATTAACTGCTCTATAAGCTCTAAGTCCCTAGGCGTAAGGGATCTTGGGCGGCTACGGGTCTCTAGTCTCTGGGGGGTCGTTATAGAGGCGTCGGTCGCGGTGTTCCTTGAGGATCCGATTTCCAGTACGAACTGGAACTCCGTTTAACGCAAAAAGGCGTCTTTTGAAATAGGGAATCTTATACCGTTCCATATATTCAATAGCCCCTAGGATCCTGGATTTCGTAGGCGTCTGGTGATGGGGTTGTTCGGCCATTTCGTAGGTTGTTATAATGGTGAGGAATTTATTGGGGCCATTTTTTTTGCAAACCGCTTGCCTACATGGTCCGCGCCCCTTAGGTACCCTAATTTCCGGGTGAAAGCCCTCCCCGTGCTTCTCGTGCCGGCGCCATCCTTAACTTTGTTGGCCCTTGAGCACACGCTCTTCGATGTTCCTATCAAAGTCGCATTAGTATACTCAAACCATTAGGTACCTACTGTAGCCCTCGTTACCCCGCAAACTCCTCAAAGACTCTACAACACAGGCAGCATTGCGATCTTCTAAACTTGGTTAACTTCGTCCGTGCTGCCCTGAGTCGCTTTCGACCGCATGCACGTGCGCTCCTGCGCGCCTCAGCATTAGAGCTGGATCATCGCCTCCGTGCGATCATGTTTTCAAGACCAAAAGCCTACGCGCCCTCGCCAAGTTGATCGGCTTTCGAGTTCTCCCGGCCGTAAGCGACAAGTGACCCAGAAATTAACAGGGCAATGTTACGGTTGGCCCCAAAGGTGCTTAGTGCCAGCCCTCACATGGTCGTCAGTGCCTTATTGGCAACTATCCAATTGAGCTAAAAGGATACGTGTTGAATCAACGTCGTTGATTCAACTGGGCTGCATTCATAGAGGTGTAGGCCCCAGGCCTATAAATATTGGGGGATTGCCCGGGTTGGTGATCACCGATATGGTGATCACTGGGGATGGGATCCACTGCTCCCAGGAGCACGTGTTTCACAGCTTACATGATCTGTGAATTAGATGGGTATATCTGATTCATATAGGTAGCGGTGATCAGAGAGATAGCATCATTATCATTACAAGTTTTATATCACCTATCCTACTAATTCATAGCTCTCAGGCACAGCTACAATAATGAATCATGGTTCACATAAGTAGTAAAGCCCGCTCAGCACCGCAGGTAATAGATAATAAGTAGAGGGGTATGATAATTAAATTCTAGCCCTCTGCAGCTTGGAGGGCCCTCCGCGGCCCTTATATATACGCTCTCGTAACCCTTAGGCCCTGACTAGCCCACTGTGCCGTGGCTCTGCAGGGTTTCCTGACACCCAAAGTGGGCGCATCAGCCTATACGCCATTGCATGGTAGCGACTCTTCCATTTAGAATGCAAGTGACGGAAGTGCTTTATAACGCTTCGAAAGGACTCATTGCATCAGAATGCTAGAAAGAGAGTTGTTCAACCTGAGAAGCATGCCATTGGCCGTACCGTCGTCGGCATCCTGCTACCGTCTCAACCTTCACAAGGTTGCTCCTATCTCTTAAAAACTCGACACGGCATATCAATATGCCTCCTCAACGTATGATGCCACTTCGTACAGAAGTTCGATGTGCCCTTTCGGAAGATCTCAGCCGCTCGTTTTTCAAGAGATCCAGCGCTCTGATTACTGGCCGTTAACTAATGGGCAGGCAACTCCTTTGGCCGTACCGAATTCACAGGCTGCTTCAAGAGAGGCGAGGAGGATATGGTGGGAAGAGCGGTGCGAACTTTTTGTCAGCTGCTGAATCTCCGACGAGTCAGACTTCAAGATAGCCGGATCTAGTCCGCAGCCATAATCATGGGCGTCAAACCAGAGCCGTTGCTAGAGCCGCTCTGTATCGACCTCGCTGCCAAAACCCAAGACGGCAGTTGTCAGCTTGCCGAGGTCGCCGCCAAAGATCAGCAAATCGAGACACCAAACACGGACTCGGGTGTTCTCCGTCAAATAAGGCATCAAGACTTCGTCGCGAAGGCTGCCCTGGATTGACTTGGAGAACTCGGAGCAAGAAGGTCCCATGTTGCCTGGCAAGGCTGTTAATATCGCCAACCTGGGCAACTCGATGATTTCTATTCCATGGGTTTCCTGGCTTATGTACATAGAATTCGTTCTTGAGTTCTCTTTTAAATTGGGTAGATAACGCTGGCTCACTTTGAACTGGTAAGCAGAACGGAGGTACCTGGTCGGACAATTTGTGGCCCTTGAGACATTCCTCCCAATATGAAAGAGGCGGTGTAAGTTAAAACCATGATAATAATCAACAACCATTCAAAAGTTTGTCAAGCTACATACATCGGTTAATGAGAAAGAGAATAGAGGCAACGGCAGCTAGTGGAACAGCTGCGGTGGACGCAAATTGTTGAGAAGAAGCTGTGAGCTTCACTCGGGTTCCGTGCCGAGGCCGGAAACGGACTACCAAAACTGTGCTGTGCCGAAAGCTCAAGCTTGACAAGTCCATACGAGGTAGGTTTAACTGTTTCAGTCGTGGGTCCACGACTGGTTGGCAAGGCAAGTATCATCACAGTGACACCATTTTATACAAAAGGTCAACCTACCTAGGATGATGGCCCTTGTCATCTCGAGGCTGGCATGAAGTTTGCAGATATGATTTTAACACAGTAGGACTAAAGCGAGCCGCTCTTGCGCATCCAGGGATCCTCCAGAATTTCGGTAGGCGAAGGTCTCTTCGTGGGGTCATACTGAAGAATCCGTCGGATGAGTGCCTTCACTTGACGGCTTTCCTCCCCATCAATTTCCGGGCCCGCCTGATCGAACAAGTCCTCCATGGATGTTTGTTGCAATAGAAGCGGCTGTTTCCCTTGCGGCACTCCCCCGAGCTGACAATTGTAGAGTTTTCTTTCCGGTGTAAAGTACAACGAAGAAGTCCTCCACCGTTTGAATAGCTCATCAGGAAGGGGGCCGAGCCTTTCGGTGAGTGCAAGGATATGATCGTCATCCTCAAAATCCGATCCTGGAATGCAGAAGAGGGGCTGTCCGGTAACCAACTCAAAGATACGGCAGCCAAAACTTCAAACGTCAAGGGTATTGTTGCGTCCATCACCAAGTATCAACTCGGGAGCTCGGAGGCCCAGCGGAACAAGAGGCTTTTTTGGCGGATTCGTGAAGAAATATGCTGTCAAGCGTGAATGAGCTTCTGTAAGGCAATGAGAAAGAGACGGAATTGGAAATTGTTACTGACCTCCACCCATGTCGGATAGTTTGATCTTGAAGTCTTCGGCATAGGAGGTAAAACGGACCAGTGGCTGCCCAACGCAAAGATAATGAGGCGCCCACTTGTCTTGTTTACCATCTAATCTCCGTACCGTATCTGAGATGGACATGGCTTGTACATCTTCCCTTTGACGGAGCACATCCTCGGGCTTTGAATCGATGTTATTGAGGGCAAAGAGTATGTTTCCCGGCTGGAAGTCTCCGTGAGCGATGCCGTTACCGTGAAGAAACTCCAAGCCCTGCAGAGACTGTTTGAGGATACTCCTGGCCATCTGTGGCGGATATCGGACTTTCATACCCCACTTGCGCGGGTTGAATTGCGGCAGCTCTTCGACCATCGAATTCACACTAGGACCCATCGGCTCGAACACAAGGCATTTATGGATGCCGTTAGGTCCGCTATGCTCGAATTCATCTAGCAGCTGTGTGACATGCCGAGCCCCTTGTGCTGGTGCGATGCCGTTGAGCTGGCGCAAAATCTGAACCTCGTTTGTGGATGCCGATATGTCTGAAACGAGAATTTTCATGGCGACATATTTACAGTTGCTGAAGAAAGATGAGTTGTGATCATCTACAGGTTCGTGGGAAGAAATTGCAGTACCTCAGGTCTCGGGCCAGCCAGACGGTTGAGTAGGAGCCATCGCCGAGCTTCCGGATGACCTTGTATTGGCCGTCCTTGAAACTGTCGCCGAGATGGACAGGGTGGCAACCACCGGGGCGGTAGTCTTCAAGCCATTCACACGGCAAGTTGATGGTATGTAATCTTCGCTCGTCATCCCTCACGGGCCTCGACGGTGGGGTGGGTGGAGGGGAGGCGGTCATGACTGCACTCGAGATGTGTTGCCCAAAACTGGCCGATCGGGAAGTTGTCACCGAGACGCGGTGTCGTTTGAGAGTTCCTGCAACGCCAGTGAGATTCCGGGGAGGAAAAGAAAGAAGAAAACACTAGGTGCAGCTCCGAGCGAACAATTTCCGCTCTCTATGAAGACGAAACTTTGGACTTTGATGAAAGTCAGTTTGAGAAAGTAGGTAGTTCGGACACGGAAGGGTATGAGGACGACTACAGCTTTGTGATTGGTCTAACAAACGCGCGCGTAAACCAGTCTATTTCGGTATCAAGGCAATAAAATACATAGCTTTTACCCATACTGTATGGCGATGTCTTGGAAGCTTGCCCATTTCATTGGGTTAGCTCAGCCAAAGCATTTGAGGAGAAGTGGATGTCCAAGTTTTATAGTGCATAAGAAGTCCGCTATCTTCCAACCAAACCTGCGCGTCACAACAGGAAATTGTCGAGATAAAGTCTCCACTCCCTTCACCACTGCCACAGCTGTCAGAGTTCCTGATCAGTCTCGCAGTAAGGCAACCAGAATGTTCAACGAGTTGACACCAGAGGTGAACGGAACAATTCAGCGCAACGACATGCCATCATATCCGAGCGATGGCACCCGCTAGCTACCTTAACCATAATCGAAGGAACCCGCGATCAGATACTGACAAAGACACGCTCGCAATATTTTCAATTGCATGCCAGGCCGAGGGAACTCCAGGATCTGAGATTTCTTCCTGATCATTCACCGTGAATGTTGACCCAAACCATGCCACAATTCATGATAAGATTGCTGTCGTTGTAAGTCCAAGTATGTCTTTTCCTACATATCCGCTCAAAGAACCAGCGGTGTAGCTTCGGGACCCCTGAAGATGGAAGCTAGGACAATCCCGTGATGCTCCCACATAGGATGAGAAACATGGCCGTTCAACAAACATCAATGTACTGTCCCGCTTTTGTACCCCAGCAGTCCTCCCTTCTCGCGAACTTCAACCAACATCTAGCAGGTGTTAAGCATGGAAGTCAGCGCCGTCTTCTCCGCTGACGTGATGGTGAGGGCCCAGTAGCTCTTAACGGCGACCCAGCTGCGGGCGTAGGTGCAGTAGAAGCTGGTCAGGGGGGGCTTCCAGGCATCGGGGCTCTTGTCGCCTTTGGCCTGGTTGACGTCGTCGGTGACGGCCCAAAGCTGGGGCCGGGTGAGATCGTTGGCGAAAGCCTCACGACGGGCCGTCGTCCAAGAAGCAGCACCAGACTGGACGATAGTCAGCACATCTGGTCCTAAAGTGGGGTGGAACGCCGCGGACAAGGCATGAAGAAACAGATGAGGTTTCTCGTCAATCGTCCGGGACAGGGGTCTAGGTCACGTACCTTCCAGGCGTTGGACAGGGGGACCATGTGGTCAATGTCAACGTCGGACGCGGCAGTCCACCTGGCACCGTCGAAGGGGCTGACCCAGGTGCCAGAGGTGGCAGCGCAGGCGGAGCTCGTCACAACGTTGGTGCCGTCACGGATCAGCACAGTCTCTCTGTTCAAATGTAAGTAAAGCTTCAAGAAAAAGGCCTTGTCTCCGATCCACGTTCAAGAAGGGTGGGACGAGCGGGGCATAAGTAGTACCTTGTGTTGCAAGCGCCAGAGACGGTGTGCCAGTGAGGGAAAAGATCACGGCTGTATCCGGTCTGAGGACCCAGAGCGGCAACAGTCAGACCAGCAAGCTGGGTCCGGGCGGTAGCGGCGCTGGGGATTCCAGGCTGGAGGTCTCGCATCAGCTGAGGGGCCGATTACCAAGGTTAGGGGACGTTGAGGTCCACTCGACTCACAGGCGCAGGAACGGGAACAGGGCTCGCGAGCACGGCAGTGCCGGCCAGGAGGGCGGAGAGCGAGAAGGAGAACTTCATGATGCTGATCGAGAGGCAGAGCGAGGCGAGGAGTGACTGTGAGGCTTGAGGCTGGAGCTTGGAGGCTGGAGGCTGGGAGCTTGATTCTAGGAACATGTTCACCAGAGGGAGCGAGATCGTCGTCGCTTTATAGCCATTGCTTGCCTTTGTGAACATGACATGCCTCTTTGAGTTGGCGCGTAGCACCACATGCCAGTCTCAACGAGACAGCGGGCGATCCCGAAGAACCTAAAATCTGCCACGGCTCGAGATAATGCCTCCCTGCCAGGGTCGGCATCAGCTGGTGGCATTAAACGGGAAGGCCAGTCGGCTCTGCAGCATGTCGCATGCTCCCTCCTGTTCGTCCCTGAAACCCGACTTATCGGAGCCAGAAGCAAGCGCACGATGGCATCCCACCCCCGCGGCAGTGCAGTCTGTTTTGGTGCACCATCGCGGCCCATTCGCAGATCCGGCCATCGAATACCCCTCATTACTCGCCGGGCGTGATGCCCTCTTCATTGGCTGTTGGGCCGTTTGGGTGCCGATGCTGTGAGCGGCTAGTATCGTTTCGTCCCGCGACTCATCAAGCTGAAGGCCAGTGAGAAGCTGGGGCCGTCCCACGTTATCTCGCTCCCCCCCTTTTCGGCCAGCTTAACCCACACCCCACAAACACCAGTGCCGACCGCAAGCTAAGATCATGGCGCTCCAGCGATTGGCAATGATGTGCATGGCCCTGTCAACCTTCCTCTTCAGGCGGCGGAAATGGCCGATGCGTCGTTAGGGTCGGGGGCCCGAGGGAAATTGGGATGATCGTCCGGGTGTCAGGACTCAAGGACTGATCCGCCATCGGAGATGCTTCTCTCAACAACATCGCGTCTTACCGCCAGATAGCGGCGCAAAATCCCGAGGGGCAAGAGTCAGACCAAGGTGAGGTCAGGCGCCGGAGGCGGGATAAGATGCGGGCCATTGTCTGTTCGCAGCATCGCCCTTCCATGCGCCCTTCCTCGCCCCTCCTCAAAACAGGGCAGCTCGACCGAAAAACATACGTAAAGCCTCAATGGCAATCTACGACAAGCCTATAGCATTGGGTGAATTGGTCACATGCTCACGCCCGAGTGGAAACCAAACCTTCTTGCAACACCGGTTATCACAGTGACATGCCGAAACCGAAGTCGGTCTGCGCATCCCACCATAGCCAAGCTCCGGAGGATCCGCTGGCCATTTGTGGGGAATCGTGCGTCCCTGCATTTCTGGCGCTGGCAGATGCGAGTCTATCTTAAGCTTATCTGTGCGGCATCGTCAACGGTGGGCACCGAGACCGGTCGTCTAGCTGTTGCGACTTCAGATCAAAGTCGCAATAGCATGACATCGCACGAACACCATGTTGGCCAACTGTCTATGAGGGAGGTTACTACGACTGCCAACGCTCTACACCACTGACCTGCGAAAGCAGTGGAACCTAGCCGCCCGTGGCCTCCATGCATATAAACAGTCGACGAGGTATGCTTGAAGTATGTGCAGCTCACGTAGCTGTTCCATTGAGAGAACAATGCGACCTGATGTTACCACAAGCCTTTTGATAAAATCAAGCTTTCCTGACCCACCCCGGGAATAAGACTTGTCAAGTCCTCTCTCTGACCTCTCAATGGCCACGTGTCAGTCGAGTAGAGCAAGAGCTGAGCCGTCGCTCAACCAATTTAACGATACCTGGCTGTAACGAACATGGTCCGATACAAGCGCCCACTAAATACGAGTGCAATTCACAGTCGTCCTGCTACGGTCTGACCCTAAAATGGCCTAATGACAGCTCATACGCCGGTAAGCTGGCTCAAGCCTCAGCTATCCGATGGATCTTAAGATATATGTACTGCATCAAGGCCATAGGCTGTACTGAGAAACGACTGGCAGCCCAGGAGCGTGCGCAGAGCTCCATCTTGCGACCTGCTTCTAATTGCACCTATCAGTCATCGTGGTACGCACCTCATATCATATTTGAACCGGAGCTTCACTCAATGCTTTCAGTACGTTGAGAATGTTCAATGAATGAATGTTCACGGTAAAGATCCGATGATGTGCTGGGCATGGTTGTTGTTAGAGTCAAGTAACCTACCACAAATACAATGAAGTCGCTTGTACACAATCTTGTAATAGCCCCTAGAGAGTCTCATTCCACGTACATCTCTTGGCTTGCTTATCGAGATTCCACTCTTCTAGCATTGACTCAAAGCAAGTCGATCAGTCCTCATAATCTTTTGGATACCTTTGTAAAACACCCGTGACAGCGGTGAATATTAGCTAAATAATTCTGCGCTATGTAAAGGAGCATGGTATTGAGGAAGGAATGCAAACAGGTGAAGCACAACAGTGCTAACAGCATGTCGATAACACGCCAGCCAGGCTGCGATGGCCCGCTGTATAAAGAAAGATCTGCGTGGGAGGTAAGATAGAATTCTCGTCGGCAGCAATATTCCTCAACAAGGCCTTTAACCCCGCGTCGAAGCCTTCCCTGTATAAATACTTGCTCTCAATCTTTCGTTGCCCTAAACGAGGCGGCTTAAGACATTGTTGGGAGGTCTAGCGCTACAAATCATGGTGCATTCTTCAGCAGAGCCCAAGGATCTCTGAACCTTTCGCCAAGGACAGAGGCCGGCTGGCATCTGACACCCTTAGCCTTCACTGGTTGAGGTCGAGGCACAAGCGCAGTGCTCGGGGGCTTCGTGTCTTCGGACTCCTTTTTACATCTGGATGTCAACTGTGTTGCTTTGTATTTCTGCAAAATACTCTCGACTTCGATAGCAGGCACGAGTCATTTCAGCAGCGATAGACCGCAGTATGGAAATTCTGATGCGCCACAGATTAGAGAGCGGCAGTCGGTCCGGCTATGTGTGTACCACGAGACGCATAGACAATGCGAAGTGTCACCTTTGTCACAAAACAAGGCCATGTGTATGGCTTCAATTAGGTGAGGAAGTCAGCCTCAGACAACCCTCCAAACGATATTAGCCCATCCGCTTAATGCCATGCATTCTACAAAGTGAATACTGAATGGACGTGGCGTGAATACAGTAGCTATACGTGTATACTAAATGAAGTTGTATCCCCTACAAATGGCGATTGCGGTGTTCGCGTCCGATGTCCCTCCTGAGCTCCCTCGTAGAAAGCGAATTTGTAACAGTTGACGGAAAAGCTGACAAGTAAATATTAAACATGGACAGCACGAGGCCTGCGTAATTTGACTTACAACATACTCACCTCTCATTCACAGAAGCCCTGCAGTAACATCAGCTGGTGTACATGGAGTTTTACTACACATCGAGTTGAGGCTGGGTTCTCCGATGCTGACCCCACCCGCACTCATGTTCGTACTAGATATTCCTTGTTTGAATTTATTGATTCGTTGGCAAGATAAGCAAGTAGGCTCGTGAAACTTCCGATTCGGTTGTGATACCTTCTCAAGTTGATCCGAAGTTGCACTGTTGCAGAGCATGGTTTCACGCAACAAAACTATTGATGCAAAAAGCGAGTTTCAAGCCAAATACAAAGTTTCTAGGATGTACTATGACTCCATTTCAAACTACGAGATGAACCTGAGCTACACATAGCCGAGGTCACAGGTCCACGAGGAGCACATTCATTTCCAGTTTCCCAGTCGTGGGATAAAGAGACGTAATGACCAGGCCGACGAAGAGGCTTAGCCAGAAAGGAGAAGTATAAGACGAAACAGGAAACAAGAAGTGCCAACAACAGTCGCTCGGAATATCTTACCTTACTTGCACTTGCGATACAAGCCCTTCACAATGGAACGAGGTACGAAGATGAAGCTGCAGGCCCTGCTGCCGCTGATGTCACTGGGTGAATAAAAGTATCAGTCACGTGGAGATGCTATTGGATTTGGCTTTCAATTGAGTTCGGACAGTCGCCTTTGAGGGCATCGCACACAAGGAAATACGAGTGGTTGGGTTAGTGCCGTTGGTCCAACACTGCGAACCCCGCGCTCATGGCACTGAAGGGTTGGCCCCACATGGAACCTGATGGAGGGGTCCCACGAAAGCACAGACCACGTGCCGAGCAGAAGATCCATCCACGAAACCGATAAGCTCTCCAGCTCTAATCGGATCACAGGCCGCCAAAATTTCCAGCCCGTTGTGTGCAGAGACCAACACGCCCAAACCCGGCGATACCACCGCCCAACGACATCCAAGGCCGTCTGTTCCTTCGCCCCTCAGGAGGCTAGACCTCTCACATAGACACCTTCCTCATATCAATCCGCAGCCATGGCCCCCACGAACACAGGCCCATCCTCCGGCCCCCTACCGACAACGACCGACTTCAACACAATCTACAACCGCATCGCCCTCGCCTCAGCCAAGCAAGCCAGCTTCCTCACCTCCATGCGCGCAAAGTACCCGAGCCTCCAGCGCCCCTCCGCCTCGTCCTCCGCCGCGGCGTCCAGCGCCGGCTTCTCCGCCCCTTCAACCGCGACGACCCCCGGCGCCGGCCCGACAATGGCCCAGATCCGCGCGGCGCACGAGGACGACGCGGCGCTGCGCTTCGAGCCCATCAATGCAGGGCTGGGATACAGGCCGTCCAAGGCCGAGACGGAGACGGACGCGGCGACGAGGGAGCTCGGGCGGAAATTGCTGGGCAAGAGAGGCAGGGAGCAGCAGCGGCGGGGTCAGGACGTCAGGAGGAGGGTCGTCGTCGAGGAGAGCGACGATGACGAGGGCAGAAGTGGGGTGGGGCGACGGAAACGAGCGAGAGTCGTGCCGCAGGCTGAGGTACGAGACGAGGAAGAAGGCGACGCTGCTGGGGATGAGGACATGGACGATGGAGAGCCGGACACGACAATCGGTGTTGCGGAAGTTGAGGCCGAACCCGTGGTAGAGCCGCCAACGTTGACGAAAGCCGTGGCTGAGATGAACGATGGGGCGCAGAGCAAGAAGAAGAAAAAAAAGTCGAAGAACAAGTCGAAGACGAGAGCGGAATAGCCAGTTCCTTCTGTCTGAATTCAAGATCAACTTCACCAAGTCCAAATGTAATTCCTCGCCAACGATTCCGGCACACATTTTGACAACAATTTACAAATGCTACAGTTGGAGATCAACACGCAGTGTGAATTTCCTTATCGCCCCAGGGGTTACTCCTGCGCAACAACTATGGAACGAGTGATATTACAAACCGTCGACTCCTCCTTCGTCCAACGGAGTCATCACCTCGTGATATACGAGCATATGAGAAAGTCCCTCCGTCTCACCGACAATATATTGTACACTGCCAGCACCATCTCCCGTCAAGCCTGTCGTCGGGAATGGCGGGCGACTGCATCGCCTCAGTCCACGTACTGGCGAACCGGCCACGAAGGTTTGCGAAAGCCTGATGAGCGGCTCCTTGCGTTTTGGCGAACCCTCAGGCAGACGCTGACGTTCGCCGGGCAGGGCAATTAATTGGCAATATCCTTTTCGTGATTCGTTTCCCGATCCGAGATGGCACCATCTCGGCGCAGGTCAATGATTAATGTTCCATCCACCCTGTTCCCTGTCGGCCGACTCCAGTTGGATGTGCTCCGAATCTAAAAGCAAACCCATCGTGATATCGTCAATACTGTCACATGATGTACCGGCATCTCAATCTTCAGGCAAAGTGGCTCGTATCTATGCGGTTGCGGAGAGACGATATCACTGCATCCGTTTGCGTTTCCTGTCATCGTCGCCGCGGAGGTCTTCGTCCTCATCGTCACGTTACAGAAATACTACGCGTTCACTAGTGCGCCATGATTCCGCGCTGAGGGGAGGAAGCGAGCTGTCTTAACAAACAGACTAGCGCGGCTCGCCGAGTTCCATGCCAAACAGCAAAAGAGTACGGGCCGTCACCAACGCCGCCTCCACCGCCGTTGTGGAAGTTGGAAGGCGGCGGCGGCGTTGCCGGCCTCGATGACGGATGATGCTGGGAGGCGGACTGCAAAGAGTACGTCGAAAGTGAGTCCCGAATGCGCTGATCCTCTGGCGCGACGCGGCTTGGTGACGAGGGCCAATGCGTCGATGGCGGTCCGGATGACGGAAATGGTGGATTGCCTTGCCATCCGGGAGCCCGAATATCTGCCGAGGTGTGCCGACGAGCAAGACTTCCCGGAGGCGGATCAATCTCCGAGTGCGCAACCTGTGCGAGCGGGTGGGGTTGCGGGGGAGGTGGCGGTGCTCCTCGCAGCGGAGAAGGTGATTGCGGCGCGGTGTTTGATCCGATGGAGCTGTAGCGTCGTTGCGTGCTGATAGACAGGTTTGAGGGGATTGGCGGTCGGTGGAAGTTCCCCTGACCTCGTGCCGAGGGTACCGTCAGGTTGGTCCTCCTAGGGTCGTCTTGGGGCATCTGTCGTGGAGAGACGGGGGCGTTCTCAATGTTGGAAAAGTACGAACGGCTTGCAGAGAACGGCGGCTCAGGCTCGTCGACAGACCGGAGTAGGTCAGCCTGACGGTGCATCTCGGACTGCAGATTGATGACTAGAAATAGTCAGTTAGTGCTGGAGCAACTCTATATTGGAAGTACTGTAACCTGCCGTCTCGGTAAACAGGATGTCCTTGGTCAGGAACAAGACCCAAGACCGCTCTTGAAAGTTCCTGATTGAACTGCAGCAATCGTGTCATTGTTTCCATGACGGCCTGGTGCTTGATGTGCATGAAGTGCGCACTCTCTTCGCTTCGTTGAAGGCGCATGCTCAAATCGTACAAAGCGTGCTCGACACTGCCTCCCCTCGTCTCAGCACTTTCTGGAGGTGGCGGAGGCATGGGCTCTGCAGGTGTGCCTGGCTGCGAAGTGCTGGGCTTGGTGTTCGGATAGTCGCGGTGGACGAGCGCGTGACGCGACGCCCGGCGCTTGATCTCTCGTAGACCCACGAGGTCACCTCTCTTGAAGTTCCCGTTGCCGTGCTTAAACTCCCAAAGTGCCATGTCCGGATTGCCCGTGTGGAATGCATCGCTCACTGTTGCTGCGCGTCAGTTGTCATGCGAATACCTTGGTGGCCGGGCGAGACTGCAAACTGACCTTTATGGAAGCCATACATGTTCAACTGTCGCACAAAAGAGGAGATGTTGGTGTGTTTGAAGTATTGCCTAGCCCAGTGGTCAGTCCATCCGTAGGTCTGCTCGTGAAATCGCTGGCAAGAACGTACGCAAGAACTTTAGAGAAATCGGGGGACGGAGACATGACGAAGCTCTCGGCCGTAGGTGACCACGATATCAAGTGCTGTATACTTGGGTCTTCCAGCATGCTAGAGCCGTGTTAGCAACAGACCAGCACGCCACATGGCACCGTCGCAGTTCTCACTTGTAAAGCTTGTGGATGAAGGCCGTCTGCACAATCTTTGGCTGGTGCACAGCCGCCGCCGCCGCCGCCGGCGGGGCTGGCATGGAGCTCATGTGGCTAGCAGGTTGAGATGCGCCCGGCGACGTGTTCTTCGCGCCTGGTTCTGGGGTGCCGCTGCCGTTGCCGTTGCCATTGCCATTGTTGTTGCTCCCACCGTTGATGCTGGTGCCGTTTTGCGAATGGGGGGGCGATCGACCGCCGGCGGTGGTGGGCATCGTGATCTCCATGGGATCTCCCGGCGAGGGGGCAGATGTTTGGATAGTCGGGGTCGGAATGGGGACGATGCGAGTAGTGGTGGATGGTGATGAACCGTCATGGCCATCGGGTGGCAGAGGAACAGCCTGCTGACTCTCAATCGCGGCAGCCATTTGCGCTGCACGATGCAAGCATGCAGGTTAGCAAGGCAAGACAACAAGAGCGCAGAGGAGAGGAAAGAGGAGTTGTTCGGCGGAGAAAGCAAGACAACCTAGAGGCCAGAGCGTCGCGAGGCGCCCCTCAGGGAAGCATGGGGAGGATGGGCCAAGAGAGACAAGGCAGGCAAGCGGCCGCGGGCGCGCACACGCACACACACATACGCACGCACGCAAATGGCCCGCCTGTGTGCAGACCGGGGTTCGGATT